AGAATGACCGTGACAGTCGGACAGTGAGAATGACCGTGACAATCAGTGACAGTGAGAGTGAGAGTGACAGTTGGACAGTGAGAATGACCGTGACTGTCGGACAGTGACAGTTGGACAGTGACAATCAGACAATGAGAATAACAGTGACAATGACAGTGATAGTCACACAGTGACAGTCGGGGACAGTACCTGGTGGGGGTTGGGATGGTGGACACTCACCGATCTGGGCGGAGTGCGAACGCCGTGGAGTGTTTTTTGAGCGCACGACCTCCTTGATGCGGTCGACCTCCAGCTGGTAGCGCCGACGGTCTTTCATGGCACCCTCCTTAGCCTCCTTCAGTGCACCCTCCAGCGCCTTGACCCGGTCAGCTGTAGCTCGAAGTCGTTTCTCCAGCTTAGGGAGCTCACAGCGAAGATCTGCATTATCACGAACCAGCTATGGGTGGAAGGTTAGGGCACAGAGGGAGGGAAAGTGGGAGGGGGGGGGGAGGGCCAAGGGAGGGGAGAAGAGAAAGTGTAGGTGAGGAGGGAAGGAAAGGAGAGGGGAGGAGGGATGGTCAGGGCATGGAGGGAGAAAGTGGAAAGAACAGGAGGAGTGAGTGGGGAGAAAGGGAGGAGTGAGGGTATAGGGAGAAGGGGAAGGTGCCAGACGTGTTGGGGTGTTTGATTAGGAAGGAGAGAAATGCAATTTGTTCAGTCAACTCCTTGTCACATTCCCGGACCAAAAACAAAGTCATTCAGGCCCTTGAGTCCACTCAGCCTGTCAATTCCCAGGCTCCTGCTTCCTGACTGCTCCCAGTCTCCGCACACACAACCCCCCACCGCCCCCCAATTCTCCGAGGGGCCAGGAATCTGTCTTTAAATATTGATTGGTCCACGCACGACCGAAACATTGCTCCACCTAAACCCCATCATGTTCCAGGTTCCCGTCCCCATCAACCTCTCAGGGCTTCACCCCTCAAGCCCCTCAGGAATCTCATTAGTTCCAATGACCCCCACCTCATCCCTCTGAACTCATCTCAGTCCTATCCCGTCTCCTTTATAACGCAACCCCCTGTTTCTGGACTCCCTCCTCCCGGTCATCGGGAACATCCTTCCTGCATTTCCCCCCGCCGTGTCTAGTCCCGTGAGAATTTTACAGGTTTCTATGTGACTCCCTCCCTCCTCATTCTTCTAAACTCCCAGTGATCCAGTCTCTCTCCGTCCATCAGTCTGCGCTGTCCCAGGGATCAGTCTGGGAAACCCTTCGCTGCACTCCCTCCGTTGCCAGAATAGACTTCCTCAGATATGGAGATCCCTAAAACCACACACACAATCCACCAGGTGTGGCCTCACCATGTACAATCACAGTGAGACTTCCCTGCCCTCGAAACCATTTGTGGGATCAGTGTGGCATTGGCTGCCTACGTTAGGTGAGTTGGCCATGTTAAATTACACTGTCGTTTCCAGGGATGTGCAAACTGTGGTGGATTAGCCATGCTTAAATTTTTTTTTTATGATTCATTCGTGCGATGTGGGTGTTGCTGGCTAGGCCCAGCATTTATGGCCCATCCCTAATTGCCCAGAGGGCAGTTAAGAGTCAACTACATTGCTGTGGGTCTGGAGTCACGTGTAGGCCAGGCCAGGTAAGGATGGCAGTTTCCTTCTCTAAAGGATATTAGTGAACCAAATGGATGAATTCATGGTCATTATTAATCTGTTAATTCCAGATTTTTATTGAATTCAAACTCCACCATCTGCCATGGGCAAGATTCGAACCCATGTCCCCACAACATCACCTGGGTCTCTGGATTAATACTCTGGCAATAATACCGCTAGGCCATTCCCTCCCCTTACAAGATCCTGAGGGTGTTTTCAGAAGGACAGCAGGGCTAATCCAGGAAGTTACGGGCGAGTGAGCCTTACATCTGTGGTTGGGAAATTATTGAAGAAGATTCTTGGGGACAGGATTTCCTCACATTTGGAAAAGAATTGACTCATTAGGGGTAGTCAACACGGCTTTATGCAGGAGAGGTCTTGCCTCAAATTTGATTGAGTTTTTATGAGGAAGTGATGAAGATGATTGATAAGGGTAGGGCAGTGGATGTTATGTACATGGACTTGACTAAACCATTTGAGAGGTCCCTCATGCTAGCTTGGTCCAGCATTTTGGTAAAACAAACAAGGGCAGAACAATTAAAAGTAAGGTCTTGGGTAGTGTTGTAGAACAAAGAGACCTAGGGGTTCAGGTACATAATTGTTTGAAGTTTGTGTCACATGTAGACAGAGTGGGTAAGGAGGCGTTTGGCATGCTTGCCTTCATTGCTCATACCTTTGAGTGTAGAAGTTGGCACATTATGTTGAGGTTGTACAGGACGTTGGTGAGGCCTCTTCTGGAGCACTGTGTCCAGTTCTGGTTGCCCCGTTATAGGAAGGATATTATTAAATGGAAAGGGTTCAGAAAAGATTCACCAGGATGTTGCCAAGAATGGAGGGTTTGAGTTATAAGGAGAGGCTGAATAGGCTGAGACTTTTTCCACTGGAGCGTAGGAGACTCAGGGATGACCTTATAGAGATTTTAAAAATCAAGAGGGGCATAGATAAGGTAAATAGCAAGGGTCTTTTCCCTAGGGTGGGGGATTTTAAGACTAGGGGGGCATATTTTTAAGGTGAGAGGAGAAAGATTTACAAAGGACAGGAGGGGCAACTTTACTTTTACACAAGAGGGTGATCCGTGTGTAGAATGAACTTCCTGACATTTGGATAAGTACACAGATAGGAAAGGTTTGGAGGGATATGGGCCAGGAGCAGGCAGGTGGGACTGGTTTAGTTTGGGAACATGGTTGGTGTGGACTGGCTCGGCCGAAGGGTCTGTTTCTGTGCTGTGTGACTCTATGACTCTACGTCACATGGGATCCGCAGTGACTCGGGAAGTCGGATTCAAAATTGGCTCAGCCAAAGAAGACAGAGGGTGGTTTTGGAGGGATGTTTTTCTCTGACTGGAGGTCTATGACCAGTGGTATTCCACAAGGATCAGTGCTGGGACCTCTGATGATTGTAATATACAGAGGATTTGGATGAAAATATCAGTGGTCTGATTAGTAAGTTTGCAGACAGCAACAACGTTGGAGGAGTTGTGGATAGTTGAGGAAGGCTGTCAAAGGATACAGCAGGATATAGATCAGTTGGAAAGTTGGGTGGAGAAATGGCAGATGGAGTTTAATCTGGACAAATATGAGGTGATGCATTTTGGGAGGTCAAATGCAAGTAAATGGCAGGACCCTTAGGAGTGTTGATATACAGAGGGATCTTGGAGTGCAAGTCCAGAGCTGCCTGAAAGTGGCAACACAAGTGGATATGGTGGTAAAGGAGGCATTTGGCATGTTTGCATTCATCAGTCGGGGCATTGAGTATAAAAGCTGGCAAACCATGTTGCAGGTGTATAAGACTTTAGTTAGGCCACATTTGGAGTAATATGGTCACTGCACTGGAGGAAGGATGTGGAGGCTTTGGAGAGGGTGCAGAAGAGTCTTACCAGGATGCTGCCTGGATTGGAGGGTATTAACTGTAAGGAGAGGCTGGACAAACTTGGATTGTTTTTGCTGGAGCATTGGAGGTTGAGGGGTGACCTGATAGAAGTCTATAAAATTTGGAGAGGCATGGATAGGGAAGCTAGTCAGAGTCTTTTCCCCAGGGTGAAAATGTCATATATGTGGGGGCATGGGGTTAAGGAGAAAGGGGGAAAGTTTAAAGGAGATGTGAGATGAAAATTTTGTTTTACAGAGGATGGTCAGTGCCTGGAACACGCTGCCGGGGGGAGGTCATAGAGTCATAGAGCTGTACAGCATAGAAACAGACCCTTTGGCCCAACTCATCCGTGCTGACCCAGATATCCTAAATTAATCCAATCCCGATTTGCCAGCATTTGGCCCCATATCCCTCTAACCCCTTCCCATCCATGTCCCCATCCAGATGCCTTTTAAATGTTGTAACTGTACCAGTCCCCACCCACTTCCTCTGGCACTCGTTCCACACACGCACCACCCTCTGTTCGAAAATGTTACCCCTCAGGTCCCTTTTAAATCTTTCCCCCTCTCACCTTAAACTATGCCCCTCTAGTTTTGGACCCCCCCCACCCCTGGGGGAAAAGACCTTGCCTATTCACCCTATTCATGCCCCCTCATGATTTTATAAACATTTATAAGGTCACCCCCTCAGCCTCCGACGCTCCAGGGAAAATAGCCCCAGCCAATCCAGCCCCTCCCTGTAGCTCAAACCCTCCAACCCGGCAACATCCTTGTAAATCTTTTCTGAACCCTTTCAAGTTTCATAGAATACCTACAGTGTGGAAGCAGGCCATTTGGCCCATTGAGTCTGCACCGACCCTCTGAACAGCATCCCATCAAGACCCACTCCCCCTATCCTATCCCTGTAACCTGGCATTTCCCATGGCTAACCCACTGGGCCTGCACATTCCTGGACACTTTGGGCTATTTAACATGGCCAACCCATCTAACCTAACAATATATCTTTCCTGCAGCAGGGAGACCAGAATTGAACGCAGTATTCCAAAAGTGGCCCTAACCAATGTCCTGTACAGCCCCAACATGACCCTCCCAACTCCTATACTCAATAGGTGGTAGAAGCAGATAGGATAGCAATGTTTAAGAGGCCTTTAGACAGACACATGAACAGGCGGGTAACAGAGGGATATGGACTGTGTGCAGGCAGATGGGATTAGTTAGGAATGGCATCATGGCTGGCACAGACACGGTGGGCCAAAGGGCCTGTTCCTACGCTGTACTGACTTAAACTATGATTGTGAGAGAGATGTTTCCTCTTGTGGGAGAGTCTAGAAACAGGGGTCACGGCTTAAAAGCCAGGGGGTCACCTGTTTAAGACAGCGATGAGATTGTTATTCTCTCAGACGGCAGTGAGCCTTTGGATCTCTCTTCCCAGGAACAAGAGTAGGCCATTCAGCCCCTCAAGCCTGTTCTGCCATTCAACGCGATCATGGCTGATCTGTGGCCTCACTCCATCGGCCTGCCCGTCGCTCCCCACACCCCCTTCAGTATCTTTGCTTAACAACCTTGGAGGAGTTGTGGATAAAGATCAGTTGGAAAATTGGGCGGAGAAATGGCAGGCGGAATTTAATCCGGACAAGCGGGAGGTGGTGCGTTTTGGGAGGGTTAAAACTAACAGCTGGTCCAGCATTCACTGCCATTTGTGGAAGGGAGTTCCAAACCCCCTGCCACCCTTTGTGTGTAGAAATGCTCGCTAACATCTCTCCTGGATGCTCTGGCCCTAATTGTCAGCTATTTTCCCCTCGTTCGAGAATCCCTCAGCCAGTGCAAAGAGGTTATCTTCACCCACCCTGGTTTCTCCTGTTAATATTTTCAGGATTTCAATCAGATCACCCCCTTAGCCTTCTCCATTCTACAGAAAACAGGCCCCATTTGTGTAATCACTCTTCATAATCTGAACCCTTGAAGCCCAGGCATCCCGAAGTTCTCAAAACATGGTGGAAGCCAAGTCATAGAGCCCTACAGCATGGAAACAGACCCTTGGGCCCAACCAGTCCATGCTGAACATAATCCCAAACTAGTCCCACCTGCCTGCTCCATATGCCTCCAAACCTTTCCTGTCAATGTACTTATTCAAATGTCTTTTAAACGTTGTAACTGTACACACATCCACCACTTTCTCTGGAAGTTCATTCGAACCACCCTCTGTGTGTAAAAACAAAAATACCCCTCATGACTTTTTAAAATCTCGGGGTGGGGGTGGATGGGGGTGAGGGGCAGGAGGGGAAGGTAGGCTAATCAGATCAGCTGGGATCTTGTTGAACGGGCTGGAGGAGCCGGGGAGCCTGTTTCTTCATCCTCTGGACGATAGGGAAAAGAGAGCCGAGGTCACCCGTGCACCGACTGTCCCGAACCAAGCTGACTCAGTGCCCCCCTCCCCTCCCCTCCAAGTGAAGGAAATCCGCCACCCCTTTCCCAGTCTGGCCTGCACGACCGATGTCCCACATCGCCACCAGTGGCGGGAGGTCGTAATTACAGCGTGACATGTTTACATAGTCAGAGCAAATTGTGAGGGGTGGGGGGGGAGTGGGTAGTTGAGGGGAGAGCCGCCCCCCACCCCCAACTCCCGGTGTGAAGACCACCCCCCAACCTCAACGTGCACATGCGGAGTTCATGAACAGAAACGAAATCGAAGAGAGGCGGACGTATTTCGAGGGGGAGACAGAGACAAACGGCACCACACATTGTACAAGCAGGCACAAGGCACGTCACCAGGCATGGAAGAGAGAGCATGTTGTTTCAGAGTGAGAACCAGCTACTGGGGCAAATGGGGTGGGAGGGGGTATACAGCAGGCTGCTGGAACCATGGGGAGCGGGGGTGTGTGCAGGGAGGGAGGGACGGGATGAGCCACTGGATGTCCAACAGACGAGGTCGAGTAGCCAGCTGTCCAAGCCAGAAGGTAGATGAAATGATACGTAGGTGGAGAAACGTGCTCGGGA